GGTCTCCAGGGTTAGAATTCCCTTCTGTGGATCTGGACGAAGCCGTGTTCGTATTTCCCACACGAGTTGTCGGAGTCCTGAGGACGTCTCCAGAATGTGTGGAAGCGGGAAACGCTTCAGTACAGGTCCCCATTGTAACGCCGGCCAGCTCCGCCTGCCGCGCCTGTGTGGATCTCCCCAAATAGAAGCAGCCGTGTGTTAGAACAGAAGTGCCAATGTGTACGGAGGCCGGAAATAACCTGGAAGAGACCCAAGAATTCTGCGGCTGGAACGGCTCATCCAGGAGAAGCGGCTCCATGATATGTACATGGTGTGTAATGATCAAAGCTTGTGGACTGTTATAAACCTATTATAACCCCCACCCCCCCGGGGGCCGGCCTATTAATATACCCCCCCCCCGGGACCGGCCTATTATAACCCACCCCCCCCCCCCGGGACCGGCCTATTATACCCCCCCCCCGGGGGACCGCCTATATACCCCCCCCCCCGGGGACCGCCCCCCCCCCCCCGGGGACCGGCCTATTATAACCCCCCCCCCGGGGGCACCTATTATAACCCCCCCCCCGGGAACCGGCCTATTATACCCCCCCCCCCCGGGGAACCGGCCTATTATATAACCCCGACCCCCCCCCGGGGAACCGGCCTATTATACCCCCCCCCCCCCGGGGCCTATTATAACCCCCCCCCCGCCTATTATACCCCCCCCCCCGGGGAACCCGGCCTATTATAAAAAACCCCCCCCCCCCGGGGAACCGGCCTATTATACCCCCCCCCCCCGGCGGAACTGGAACGCCTATTTATACCCCCCCCCCCGGGGAACCACTGCCTATTATACCCCCCCCCCCCCCGGGGAACCGGCCTATTATACCCCCCCCCCCACCCCGGGGAACCGCCTAGTTATACCCCCCCCCCGTGGGGAACCGGCCTATTCGTAATATACCCCCCCCCCCGGGACCAGAGGCCTATTATAACCCACCCCCCCCCCCGGGGACCGGCCTATTATACCCCCCCCCCCCCCCCCCACCGGGACCCCTAATTATACCCCCCCCCCCCGGGGTTAGAACCGGCCTATTATACCCCCATCCCCCGGGGACCGCCTATTAATTCCCCCCCCGGGCAAACCGGCCCAATTTACTCCCCCCCGGGAACCGGCCTGTTATATTTATATATATATGAATATATATATATATATCTATTATATAACCCCCCCGCCCCGGGGACCGGCCTGTGAGATATATAAATAAATATACACATATACCCCCCCCCCGGGGGACCGGCCTATTATACCCCCCCCCGGGGACCGGCCTATTAATACCCCCCCCCCGGGGGACCCGGCCCTATTATACCCCCCCCCACCCGGGGGACCGCCCCTATTATACCCCCCCCCCGGGGACCGGCCTATTATATCTATACCCCCCCCCGGGGAACCGCCTATTATACCCCCCCCCCCGGGAACCGGCCTATTATACCCCCCCCCGGGGGGACCCGGCCAATTATAACCCCCCCCCCCCCCGGGAACCGCCTATTATACCCCCCCCCCCCGGGGGAACCGGCCTATTATACCCCCCCCCCCCCCCCCCCCGGGGACCGGCCTATTATACCTCCCCCCCCCAGGGGACCGGCCTATTATAAAACCCCCCCCCCCGGGGACCGGCCTATTATAACCCCCCCCCCCCCCCGGGAACCGGCCCTATTATTATACCCAACCCCCCCCCCCCGGGGACCGGCCTATTATACCCCCCCCCCGGGACCGGCCTATTATACCCCCCCCCGCGGGCGACCGGCCTTACTATACCCCCCCGGTGGGACCCGCCTGATTAATTATAAATATATATATATATAATATATATAATATATATATATCTATATACCCCTCCCTCGGGGGACCAGGCCGTGTGAGATTATATATAAATTATATACTCATATACCCCCTACCTACCTCCCCCGGCCCCCCGGGACCGGCCTATTATAAACCCCTCCCCGGGGGACCGGTCCTATTATAATAATACACCCCCACCCCGGGCAAACACGGCCTTATTATACCGCCCTCCCAGGACCGCTTTTTGTGTTATATAGATATATATATATATATATATATATTATATATATACTATATATACCCCCCCACGGGGTCCGGCCTGTGTATTTATATATATATATAAATATATAATTTATATATATAAATATATATAACCCCCCCCACGGGGGACCAGGCCTATACCCACCCCCCCCACGTGGGACCCGGCCTATTATGTATGCCCTCCCCGGGGAACCGCGCCTATTACACCCCCGGGGGTTTTTTCAAAGACTGGCTTAATGATTGCCCTTTATGTAAAGGACTCAATAGCTGGTCCATTTTTTTTTGCAAGTCTACAGCCAATGGGCTGGCTGAATGGATGAGAGCTTCAGCTGGTCGGTATGGACTTTCGTTTTTACAACTGGATTTGGTCACAAACTTCCATCTTTGGACAATCTGTGTGAATTGGATTATTTTCTTTTGTTTGGATAACTCGAGGCGATGTACGTGGTTTGGGTTAATGTTCAGATGAAGACGTAACACAACCAGCTTTTCTGTAGATCTGGTTTGTTTCTCATCGTATGTGATGTCCAAGTTTGGACTGAAAAACCATACTCTCCCCATGTGGCTGTGATTGGATGAGTGAATGCTGGCTCCCTCTTGTGGTCGGTCTACAAACCTCCTATAGAACAAGAAGTCAACAGAAGAACGTGAAAGTCTTCTTAATCACAAGGCATATGTACAGCCAAAAATGTTTCTTGTTCTGGGGTGGAACACTTTTTTTTGGGGGGGTTTTACTGCTATTTTGGCATTCTAGAGATTTACCTTTCCTGACATTTTACCTGTGAAGGAAATGTCAAGTACGGGGCGGACTGACCATTTGGAAATCGGGCACTGCCGAGGGCCAAGGGTCAGTAGGGGGCCCAATCAGATGCCCCTGGTACCTTCTTTGTTTTTTTTTTTTTTTTTTTTTTTTTTTTCATAGGCTTTTTTGAGTTTGGGCAAGGACACAGGGCCCCATGAGCCCTTATTGCCCAGGGCCCATGAGTTGTCAGTCCGCCCCTGGTCAAGTATGAATGAGGTGCTGGGTTTGACTAGATCATGATTGGAGTTCAGATTCATTCAGGATGTAGAACCAATGGCGGGGGGGAAAGGGGGGGGCGGGGGGGGGACCACCCTCAACATAAACTGGATCCCCTTAGAAAGGAGACAGTTTAGGTGTGAATTATACAAATTCTGAGGGCACCTTGCCAAGGTACTAAGTCCATAATCTTTGAACCCCTTTCTGAGGCCTCCTGGTGGCCCTTTAGGTGGATCTGAGCACCAGGAGGCACAGTACCTGATCACATGACCACTGGGAGCCCATCCCACCGAGCTTGCAGGAAAGCCTTCGGCACACAAGTGGAGCTCCAAGGATGCATGTGGTCACTGGGGGTTAAGGCCCACCCTCCAATATTTGCATTACGCTGGTTGGAACAACGTCATAGTGTCCTAAACCTCAAAACATACAACGCCTTTTAGAGGCTTAAAGATCTTCTTCTTCGGGGCTTCTTCATGGTTATGTATCCATCTCCGTGTGATCTGTAGTCCTGAAGATTCTTTAGGCCCCCAAAACGTGTTGGATGATTTGGGTGGTCATGTTATGAACTAGATTTTGGTCTATTATATCTCTAGTCGGGGGCTCTCGGAGTTTTTACACTCGTATTCTGAGCTCTGGGACCTGTTTTTAAGAGGTTGAGAGCGCCTCGCCGGAGCCACTATGCCCTGGAGGAATTTGAGTGGCCACTTCCTTCTCCTCCTCCTCGGTCTAGTGCTCTCATTAGAAACCGAAATCTAACCTTCCTCCCGTCCGCTAGTCTTCCTTCCCTCCTCTAAAGAAAAGCTTCCAGTTGTTGAGTTCCCCTCACTTCCTGCCTTTTAAAAAATATTGTCAGCAGAACAGGAAGTGAGGGGAAATCTCTCTAATTGAGCCCCCGGATAACAGTAAAAAATTAAATGCGTTCCATTCCTCCACCCCACCATCCAAAACAAAAACGTTTTTTGGTTGGACATGCACTTAAGGTAACGCCTAGATTCAGAATGTGACCATTGGTGATCTACTTGTTTGGTCCTTTTGACCTTCTTTCTGGATGGATTTCACCATCATTTGTGGTTTGGGTAACAAAAGCTGTGTAGAGTTCTATGCACCTCCATGTGAGTAGATGGAATCCTGTTTTGGGGTGGGATCCAGCTTTACATGCTTGGCCTTTCATGAGAGGTAATCTACCAGTTTGAGGAACAACGCGGGGGTTGGACACCCACCAAGGAACATGTATATTGTGCAACAAATGAAGATCTTTAAGATCGACTACAATGAAAACCTTTCTACATGGATGTTTTATGGTGTTTATTATTTATTTTTTTTTAATCTTTATGTACAATTAAAATTTTTATATTGGCAGATTTAAATCAAGGAAGCTGTTGATCAAAATTTTCGAGGGACAGTCTGAACTGTCATCTTGGCAGTCTTTTCTTAGTGGTTTCATATATCAAACACAAGTGACCCCTTGGCAGCAAGCTGTCTTTATTTTATAAAACCCACTTTAAGGGTCATTTCCTGGCATGACTATGGGAGCTGGCTGGGACTGGGCCTGCCGGATGGAAATGGCTCCCGCTGGGCCTGCCGGATGGAAATGGATGGGCCCCGGACCGATGGAAATGGCTCCCGCTGGGCCTGCCGGATGGAAATGGCTCCCGCTGGGCGAATGGAAATGGCTCCCGCTGCGAGCCGGATGGAAATGGCTCCCGCTGGGCCTGCCGGATGGAAATGGCTCCCGCTGGGCCTGCCGGATGGAAATGGCTCCCATTGGGCCCTTTTTAGGTCTTCCAAGTTTGGACCACACTGATTACTGTTGATTGGCAGCTGTAAGAAAAGTTTTTGGTAGTAGATCTTGCCTGCTGAGTGTGGACCAGCATGGGGTGAGGTAGAACTGACATTCCTCACTCAAAACAATTGGAGTGCAGCAAGGACTGATAAAGTGGAGGACAGCAGAGTGATTGAGGTCTTTAAGCTGTGGCCTGAGCTTCTGGAATTGCAGTGGTTCTGGTTCTGTCCAATGCAGGAGGCGTATGCCATGACATGAGGTATATAATTCTGCTCATGGACGCCGTGCAGGAGATGAGCCATTGGCCCCTTGGCAAAAATGGCAACATCTTCTCCGCCATGGGTTTCTTGCCTCAGAGGAACAGCGGACTGAGCCTGGTATCCAGCTTGAGCTGTAAGACAATGAGAGATGTACATATTGGTCTACAGTCTAGAGCAGAGGTCTCCAAACTTTTCAAAACAAAGGGCCAGTTTATTGTCCTTCAGACTTTAGGGGGCCGGAATGTAACCAGCAAGAGTGGAAATTTTTCTGGAATCCGTGATAGTAAACATTGCCACATTTGGTATAAAGGAGAGGAATTCTGCCCCATCATTGGTGTCAGTGGGAGGAAGCGTGCCCCATCATTGGTGTCAGTGGGAGGAAGCGTGCCCCATCATTGGTGTCAGTGGGAGGAAGCGTGCCCCATCATTGGTGTCAGTGGGAGGAAGCGTGCCCCATCATTGGTGTCAGTGGGAGGAAGCGTGCCCCATCATTGGTGTCAGTGGGAGGAAGCGTGTCATTGGTGTCAGTGGGAGGAAGCGTGCCCCATCATTGGTGTCAGTGGGAGGAAGCGTGCCCCATCATTGGTGTCAGTGGGAGGAAGCGTGCCCCATCATTGGTGTCAGTGGGAGGAAGCGTGCCCCATCATTGGTGTCAGTGGGAGGAAGCGTGCCCCATCATTGGTGTCAGTGGGAGGAAGCGTGCCCCATCATTGGTGTCAGTGGGAGGAAGCGTGCCCCATCATTGGTGTCAGTGGGAGGAAGCGTGCCCCATCATTGGTGTCAGTGGGAGGAAGCGTGCCCCATCATTGGTGTCAGTGGGAGGAAGCGTGCCCCATCATTGGTGTCAGTGGGAGGAAGCGTGCCCCATCGTTGTCGGCAGAATTGTGGCTCATATCCGTGGAAAGAATAGTGTCCCAAGGGCTGGGAAAAGGCAAGCAAAGGGTTGCATCCATCGCCCGGGCCGCAGTTTGGAGAACACTGGTCTAGAGGATCGAAGGTATCCTGTAGGATGTTGAGAGATCCTGCCACTATCGATGATAGTTGTGCAAATGTGTGTAAAGAACTTCTCACTCTGACTTTCTAATATACATGAGGTGGTGGAATGCTGTATCCCTGGTTTTGGTGAATGTTTAATTTAGGTGTAAAGATGTGAGATGCTGAAGAGGACCTTCAAATATTTTTTTTTTAAATAAATTGGACAGAAATTGTAGAAGTTCCCTGAGTATTAAAAACTCATAAGAGAAGCCAGGCAACTAGTCTTTTGGTTCCACGGTTCAAGGACAGAAGTCTCCTGTTAGTCTGTGAGTTTCTATAAATGTGTTTTTTAGTTATGTAATCCTAATCCTGAAATTGAACTTGCCTTGTCTCCTTACATGAATGTTGGAAGGCCATGAGTTCGGTTCAATAAATTGGTACAGTGGCCTTTTCTACAGGGTGGTTTGGGGCGATCCCTTCCATCACTGCATGGCTTTACTTACTATAGTCCACAGTGGAGACGTTCTCCCTGCTCCCGCTCACAAGTTTGTAGCCGGGGCCATTCCCGTACAGGATGGAGGTCAAAGGTTTCTGGTCAACGTCACTTAGAGCTGGAGCTAAACCTGAAATGAGCAGAAATGACGGGTCATCATTCATTCTCTGAAGATAAAACCGGAATGTTCCTGCAGTATATCTCCTGTCTATTGACACATGAACTTTCCATTCCGTTCTCCTCTGTTACGAGACCATATGTGGTCAAAGATAACCTCCTAAATCCCATTTGTTTGCCGGTGTTGTGATATTTACTGCATCAGCTGAACCTTTACTTCGTTATCCATGTTAATTTTTGATATTTTAGCAAAATTATAAAAGTTGAGAAACTGGGGGAGTCTTAGAAAATCCTACAAAATGTTTAGATAGATATTTTTTTATTTTAAACTTTAAAAGCAAAAAAATTATAACGTGCCGAAAATGGAGTTTCCCCGATGGGTGTATCCTCCGAATGTGAAGACATGGGAGTGATCAGCGGTGACGACCGTCAGTGTGTCCTCAGTGGAGGTCATCTCCCCTGCCAAGCCAATCGCATTGTCCATCTCTATGGCCTCGTGTAGAGCGTACTTGGCTTTTCCTTCATGGTGTCCATGGTCTATACGTCCACCTGTTCAGTAGAGGAACACAATTACGATCAGAACCTTTTTTTTTACTTGCAATCCTCAGCGTTTCTTGCTTCCTGAATATATACCTTGTTATATTTCATGAGGATGTTCAGACTGTTAAAAGATATTGGAGAAAGTTCCACAATATTCTGGTTTTTTGTAAAACAAATTACATTTCCTACATGGTTGCTGTAAATCGTTGCCCTACGCAATGTTTTAGCGCGCCTGAGAGGTATACAATGGCTTAGTACAGCTTGGGGTGACGCCACACTCCACTTATGTGATGAGGGTTGTCCTCTGCCTTTTGCAGGGAGCAGTTGCGCTATAGCCGGCCTAAATTTATCTTCACTTCTAAAGTGCCTAAGCTCAAGTTTAGTCTGTAAGCTGCTGTTCGGCATGCTCCTGGAATCTGCCAGAAGGGTCATAAACCGGAGTTAAGATTTCAGTCCAGCAAACCACTTTGCTGGTACTTTGGGCTAGGTAGGTGGTTTAATACTTGGGACAGCCCTTCCAGAGGGTTCTTGACCCCTGCCCATGGGGTTGGTATGCTATGTTCTGGGTCCCTTGCGCTTAGGTCTAAGGGATTGTATGTTGGAAGAGTCTCACCATCTGAGATATTGCTACAAACTGTTGCTGACTAAAGAAAAAAGGCACCTGGGTCTGTCCCCCCCCCCCCCCCCCTGCATAGAGTTGGTGAGTAACTGGTGGAGGGAGAAGTTACCAAAAGGACCTTCTAGGCCCTCCTGCCTTAGGAAGTAATTGCCAAGATACTCTTTGCATCTATAAAGCCAATCTGTGAGTTTCTGTAGGCCAGCTTGGTTTGCGCTGGGACTGCTTGTACCTCACACTTTGTCCCAATACCTACTGTTCTACAAGTGACTGGGCCCCGAGTCATTCCCCAACACTCTGAGAGAGAGAGAGAGAGAACCAGCCCTGTGGTGGATGGTCTTGGACACCAAATGAACTGGGACACCTTGGTGTGGCCTCTTATGTCATCTGAAGGTCGCATGCTATGACCTCAGGATGGAAAGCTTCACAAATGTAATTGTAAACTAGAAAAAAATGGATTTCACTTGTCTAAATATGGAAGAAATTATCAAGGTTGTTGCCTGAAGAAGCTTTCTAAACTGGCAACTTTCCCATATGAACTATGACAAGAACGCCGTATCGGTTTTAAGCCGGACCTTTGTCTACATACAGATGTCCTTGTGCAAACAATAGCCAAGATTATCTGTCTGACTTCTGGATTTCAAAAGGATTTGGAACAATTTGTGACTTCCTTTTTGATTTCTGGTTTTCTTTGTGTTTGTGTCAAAGATACATGGAAAGCGCCAAACAGTATACTTCTCTCCCACTGTTGGGAAACTATATGCCATAGGCCTCTCTTCTCTCTCCATCATGTATATGGGAGCCATAGGCCTCTCTAGGCCTCTCTATATCGGGAGCCATAGGCCTCTCTCTATATCGGGAGAGCCATATCGGGGCCATAGGCCTCTCTATATCGGGAGCCATAGGCCTCTCTATATCGGGAGAGCCTCCTATATCGGGGCCATAGGCCTCTCTATATCGGGGTGTGATTTTTTATGGGAGTGTGTTCCTTTTACTTCAAGTTTTGAGGATTTTCCCAGTCCTATTGTCACTCAATATAGAAGACGGCACTTACCCTCCACCAGGAGAAAGAAGCCTTTGGGGTTTTTCTTCAGAATACTGATGGCCACTTTCACCATCTCCACCAGGGAGGGGTCTGTACTTGTGTTCCTGTCCAGTTCATACTGCATATCGCTGGGTTCAAAGAGAGCTGGAGGAATAGACATCGGATAGCTGAGCTTTTCTCAGGAAGTTAATGTTTAACATTTTCCAGTGTATTGGATCATTTTTGGGATGTAAATGTCGGCCTAGCCCACTGAATCCTGACAAACGCCCAACATTGCTACAGACTTGCCAGGGTTTCTTCATCTTGTGTTTATAATGACATTATTGTGTAACTGTATCGTGAATGACCTGAAGCTAGTATGGTGTTTGTATTGGGGGGGGGGGGGGGTTCCTTAAAGTAACTTCATGTACAATTGAGTACGTTTCTGTTACAATATAGAACAATAGTATTATTAAAGCCATCCTTGAGCGCCAATTATCAGTGGTGGGATTGGCTACTGGATCCTACACTGGGCTGACTGTGCGTAAGCTGTAGTATGATTCATCCCCCCCCTCTGTGGTCTCCAACCTGAGCACCGGGGGCCAGGGACTGCCCTTGGCCTTGCTCTTATCCAGCCCTTGGGGCACTATACCTCCCACTGATACAAGGCACTATTTTGCCAACTGACAACAATGGGGCACCAATTCTCCCACACGGACACCAAAAATTGGAGCACTATTCCTCCCACTGTTCCCCCCCACTGACGCCAATGATGGGGCACTGTTCCTCCCACTGCCGCCAATGATGGGGCACTGTTCCTCCCACTGCCGCCAATGATGGGGCACTGTTCCTCCCACTGCCGCCAATGATGGGGCACTGTTCCTCCCACTGCCGCCAATGATGGGGCACTGTTTCCTCCCACTGCCGCCAAATGATGGGGCACTGTTCCCCCCCCACTGACGCCAATGATGGGGCACTGTTCCCCCCCCCCACTGACGACTGTTCCCCCCCCCCCCAATGATGGGGCACTGTTCCCCCCCCCCCACTGACGCCAATGATGGGGCACTGTTCCCCCCCCACTGACGCCAATGATGGGGCACTGTTCCCCCCCCACTGACGCCAATGATGGGGCACTGTTCCCCCCCCACTGACGCCAATGATGGGGCACTGTTCCCCCCCCCACTGACGCCAATGATGGGGCACTATTCCCCCCCACTGACGCCAATGATGGGGCAGTGTGACGCCTCCCGAATACCAGATGTGGCAATGTTTTCTTCCACTGGTGCCAGGAAAACATCCACTCCTGCTGTCCAGTCCAGCCCCCCCTAAAGTCTTAAGCCCTGTACACACTGAGAATATCAGACGAATGATCATCTGTTGTTTTTTATATTTTGCATGCTAGTCTCATATTGAAAGTGAAGAGGTTACAAAAATTCTTGTATGACCAAATAAAAATTTGGAAGTAATGTAATTGTCTTTTCGGATGAAGACTGTACTAATGAAAATCGTACGATCTGGTACACTTTTCATGTTTGTCCCTTCGAATAATTTCAGAAGAAAGCTGTGAACGAATGATCAGATTTTCGTACGATCGAGGCAAGAACGGTATTTTTCGTATAATTTTCTGATCGTGTGTACCAGGCTTAAAGGACAATATTCTGGCCATTTTGTTTAGGGAGTCTGTAGATCCCCGGTTTAACGCATTTGGAAAAAGTTGCCCTCAGTGGTCAGCCTTCCAAGGGGGGGGCGGCTGCTGACCGAGCCTTCTCACGGCTGCCACTCGTTATTCAGATGCATGTAAACCTGGAAATGTTGCATCTTCCCAGGACAGTTGAACATATTCCACAGAACACCACTTACCCAGGACATAGTCAACGTCTTGTGGTTTCAGTTCCATCAGCTGGTCTCTGTTCCACACATAGCGTGCTTTCTGCGAATAGACAGTCATCAGATACCACTTTTGGTTGGCAACTTTTTAGGCAAACCTAATAACCTGTTTTTTTGTGTTATACGAGGTTGGTAGATGAGACCTACATAGCAGACCAGTTATAAACCAAATGACAAGCAAGGTTTGTGTATAAATTGGGCTGAAGAATTGCCTGGAGCGTAGGAACGGCCTTATCCTGCTCTATGGGCTCCATTCACTTATTCAGGCTTCTGTTATCTGAACACTTATTGGAACACACTCAGCCGACCTGCATATTGTCTAAAGCAGCCATTCCCAACCAAGGTTTCCATGGAACCCGAGCATTCCTCCAGAGCTCCTTGAGCTGATGGCTGGTTGACCATTTCATTTGATGCCTGCATAGGTCTGAGTCCAAAGCCACCTGGCGTAGTCGACGGCAAGACACCCTTTTAGCTGTTTGCCAGGGTGGGGTTCAGACAAACCATTGTAAGGGGCATTCTTTCCACTGACCAATCTAAGGGACAATTTCACAATAACCCCCAATGAATTTATTTCAGTAGGGGTTCACTGAGTCTTGAAAATTGGTTTCTCTAGGGTACAAATGTTGAGAGGCGGATGCAAGGCCTGGACACATGGGGGTTTATTTACTAAAGCTGGAGAGTGCAAAATCAGACTCCCTTCTGCATAGAAACCAATCCGCTTCTAACCTCAGCTTGTTCAATGAAGCTTTGGCAATGAAACCTGGAAGCTGATTGGTTTCTATGCAGAAGGGAGTCTGATTTTGGACTCTCCAGCTTTAGTAAATAAACCCCATGAGGTCTGAAATGCTATATATATACATTTTCCGAGCCATAATCGGACCATAGAAGAGTTAAAAAAACTGAACTAAAATTCATGGTGGGGTTTTTTCTGGAACATTAGTGTGCCAATTGTATCATGTGATCTCCATGTCACAAACTAAAGTGCCTGATCCAACCTGGCGGATTTTGTTCAGAAAAATTAAACAAATGATGGCACTGTGATATGCGCCATTTTTAATTTTATGACCAACAGTATGTGTTCTCTTTTTTGACTCGTCTTTGGCCTGCCTTAGGGACAAGTTTCCTAGCACTCCCGCTCCATTGGAACCAGGGGCGGACTGACAACTCATGGGGGCCCCCGGGCAATAGGGGATCATGGGGCCCCTGTGTCCTTGCCCAAACTCAAAAAAGCCTATGAAAAAGGTACCAGGGCATCTCATGGGGCCGCCTACTGACCCCGGTCCTTTGGGCAGTGCCCAAGTTTCCAAATGGTCAGTCCGTCCCTGATTGGAACCATTGCGCAGTAATCCTTTTAACACCATTGCCCATTGATTCAAATCTAGCTCCCATTTTGCAGTCTGTAGGTCTTACAAGTGGTTCTCGAAGGATCTAATTAAAAATTGTCTGCTTGCCTAGACAAGGAGACATGTGATGGTCACTTTCAAAACTGCCTGACCTAAACCTCTTGGTGTGTTTGGACTTCTGTTATCACCAGCCACCCAATAAGGTTTCTGCTGATTGTGAAATGCTCCTGAACATGGTTTATCCTGAACATGGTTTATCCTGAACATGGTTTATCCTGCTGTAGCCAGGCAGGATCATGATTACAGGATATTTTCAGGCTTTCCATGTGCACAGCATGGAGAAGCGGAACCTGTGGCTTGCCGGGATTCCTTTGTCAACCTGCTTGGGTACACAATCTCTAGAGCACACTGTAGAATGGCTAGGCTAAACCTCAAAGTAACTCTAACCGCACACAAGAAAATCCTCTCCTGTATGTTGTCTGCAGGGCTGGAGATGATCGGAGTGACCGACTATATGGATTCAGGACCAGTCAAAGAAACCCTATCTGCTGTATATGAAACCGGTAAGAACTTGACTTGGGGTGGACGTTCAATGTAGAAGACTAGCTGGTAAGGTTTCCTTTTAAAAGTAGGAAAGAATATTTTGCTACATGGCTTTAGTAGAAAGGGTTACTGGAAACTCCTTGATCTTTGCTCTACGACCTCTTGGTGGCCTCTTGTGGTCATTTTCACCTTTATGACTGGGTGGGATTCATAACTCACCTTATTAGGTGGCTTATTTTCTAGCCAGATCTTAGTCAGGTTTAGCCCATCCAGCCTTGACCCATTTGCCTTCTCTTCTTTGGGGTATTCGATGTCGGGGGTGTTTTTAGGGAACATGTATTTTCTTCCCCCTCCCATGATGACCTAAAACAGGAAAAACGTAAGTACTAATATAACATGATTATCCTCCTGGCGGTCTAACAGAATGTTTCTCTTCTAGTGAAGCCCGTCCTTTTCAAGCTTTGGTTCCATTCTGCAGCTTTGAAAAATGTAAGTAACCAACTCAACATGAGGTGCCCATTTTTCAGCGGTAAAGTCATATTTAGATCTCCAGGTCCATTATCCAGTCAGTATTACTGGGACTTGGAAGATGGCACAGACCGTATACCACCAATGAGACACTATTTGGGTTAATTACTATAATAGTGTCATTTGTTAAAGTCAAATCCTGGGATTTCTCACCTTTTGCCAAACATCTGTTAATAATGTCAGTATTTGTCAGACAAAGGTTGAAGGGTAGATGTACTGTGAAGAGATCAGATGGCCCATAAAAGAGCCATTTTAGCAGTCATTTTGGCCGTGATGGTGGTGGAGGGGGTCGGTGGGGCCGTGATGGTGGTGGTGGAGGGGGTCGGTGGGGCCGTGATGGCGGTGGTGGAGGGGGTCGGTGGGGCCGTGATGGCGGTGGAGGGGGTCGGTGGGGCCGTGATGGTGGAGGGGGTCGGTGGGGGCCGTGATGGCGGCGGTGGAGGGGGTCGGTGGGGCCGTGATGGCGGCGGTGGTGGAGGGGGTCGGTGGGGCCGTGATGGCGGCGGCGGTGGAGGGGGTCGGTGGGGCCGTGATGGCGGCGGCGGTGGAGGGGGTCGGTGGGGCCGTGATGGCGGCGGCGGTGGAGGGGGTCGGTGGGGCCGTGATGGCGGCCGTGGAGGAGGGGGTCGGTGGGGCCGTGGAGGAGGGGGTCGGTGGGGCCATGAAGGCGGTGGAGAAGGGGCTCGGTGGGGCCGTGGAGGAGGGGGTCGGTGGGGCCATGATGGTGGGGGTTGGGGCCATGGAGGAGGGGGTCAATCGGGCTATGATAGTGGAGGGAACGCTTCCCAATGCTGGTCATCTGGGCTCTTCTGCAGAAGGACCAGATGTCAGTAGGGTTGATGAACCATTTTAGATCTATGGAATTGGAACTATGGCTACTTGAAAGAAAAAGTTGTAGTAGAACCTCTAGTGATTCCAGGAAAAATGGTTTAGTGCTGTTATGTGGTAGAGGATGACTGCAAAATAGTGGTATCTGGTGTCAAAAATCCTAAAATCATTTTGTTAAGCTGGTAATATGAAGCTGAAATGATGCCTTTTTCATATGGGTCCTTGTCAGTCTATGGTCATCTCTGGCCATAGAATGTGTAGTCTTACCTCTATATCAGGAACATTGTACATGAGCTGCCAGGCGATGTCCTTGCACCCTTCTTCCACAGCTTCTTTGGGCATCTCATTATCCGAAAACCAGTCTCTGTTGGAACAGTGGGCGTAGGCAGCACTGGGGGTTGCATGGTTTACCCTGGTGGTGGTCACCACTCCAACTGATTTCCCTGGAAGAGGAATGGTATAAATGTGTGAGAACCTATGGATCTGCCTCCATAACCTGGTGGGTGGTTTGATTAAACGGCACAATGCCAATGGGAGAGGCTTTGGTCTCCAGATGAAGGGATTGGAATAAGAATCTTTAGAATGTTTGCTCCTGGCTACAAATTCAGATTTTGATTACGATTTCCCCAAATGTGTGTCCTGCTTAGACACTTGGTCTCGATGCCTGAGTGGCCCTCGTTGAAACAACTTCCAATTCAAATGAAACAGATCTTTAAGTTTTGCAAATGGCTGGTAAAATCTACGGCCCTGACATTGGGGAAGAGTTCACCTCTGCATTCAGTATTGGGTCTCTTTGCCACAACGTACCTGCCTCTTTGGCCCACTTTAGGATGGAGTCCACCTCATTGCCCTTAGTGGTGTTACATTGACCCCGCACCACTTCCGCGTTCACACCAACTGTCCCCTCGTTGGCTTTGACACCACACAAGTAGGCTGTGGCAGTGCCGGCGCTGTCGGCAACCTGGGCGTTCGTGTTGTAAGTCTGCGGGAGAGAGACAGGTTTACGTTCACCTATCGTCTTCATACACATGGTCATTTCTGGCTATCCTTTTACTTAAAGAGAATGTTTAGTAGAGACCTTTCTGATAGGCCATGTCCTCCCTCGGTGGCCTCTGACTCCCCTGCTAATTCTCCAGCAGTGAAGCGGCTGTTCTGCATTACTGCTCTGGAAGGAGTATGCACCTCTTAGGGCGCTCATTGCTGTCTCCTTCTGCAAAATCTAGTTACCTGGCTGTTCTGTTCAGTGACTTCAATACTTTGAATCAACTTAGAACATACCTTGGTTTTGCTGGCTGCATGCTTGCACAGGTCAGCAACTCTCAAAGTATTGGTCCACAGGAATTGGCATGAGAGCCAGACACTTGGCATTTTCCTTAAGCAACCCCCCATAATCATTTTTCTTTTTCTCTTTTCACATTTTGGTAAGTTTTTATTAAGTAAATTTTTGAAATTTCTTTAACATTCAAACTCTCCTGGAAAAGTTTCAATTGTAAAAAAGTAGAAAACAACAATAAATCATCACCTAAATAGTCAGAATCCGTAATGAGATCAATAGCCAGGAAAGTAGGAAACCTCTAAGCAAACGACCCGCTGGACGGCCATGGCCCCCCGGCCCCCCGCTGGACGGCCATGGCTCCCGGCCCCCGCCTGGACGGCCATGGCTCCCGGCCCCCCCCGCTGGACGGCCATGGCTCCCGGCCCCCCGCTGGACGGCCATGGCTCCCGGCCCCCCGCTGGACGGCCATGGCTCCCGGCCCCCCGCTGGACGGCCATGGCTCCCGGCCCCCCCGCTGGACGGCCATGGCTCCCGGCCCCCCGCTGGACGGCCATGGCTCCCGGCCCCCCCGCTGGACGGCCATGGCTCCCGGCCCCCCCGCTGGACGGCCATGGCTCCCAGACTCTAGAAGTTGCCTCATAAGAAACTTTAAACTAAAGGTAACATAAAGAAGAGATAAGAGGATTATAGAAAAGAAATAGAAGAAAAGGAAATGGTAGGAGCTGGAGGTCTCAGTTACATTAAGAAGATAGTGACACGCATATACAGGGCCCACGGCCCCCAAACCTTATCGAATTGCATTCTAGTATCGTTCAGAATGCTGGTCATCTTTTCATGGCTTGTAATCCTTGAAATGTTTTGCTTAGCACAAGGTAGGGAAACTGAAGTTTTTTTTTTTTTTTTTTTTTTTTTTGGCTATAGTAATCTTAGGTACTAGAAGGACAAAAGACCGAACTTTGAATATGAGGCGCATTCTCACCTGGCCCATCAAGAAAAGCAATACAAGGGGATTGCTGTATTGGTAATCCAGTTACCCGTCTCAGCAAAGCAAAATTTTCCATTTCAGAAACCCCAGATCTTGGCACAACCCGCAACTTGTTCCGTTCAGGACCGTGGGTCACCCAAACCTAGGTGCCCAGGCCAAGTTGTTCACTATGCCTTGGTTAAAATGACAATTTCTATTTTTTTTTTTTTCTCTTCCTAAATCCTTTTTACCTTCAGGCCCCTTTTTGTTTGGAATATGTTAATTAGGTTTTCAGTGAACAAATAAGGAACATATGAAATGCTGGGAAAAGTACAATAGACCTTCAGCTGGTCGCGGTGTTAAACAAGTTGGTCAAAGTACAGCAAAATACAAAAACTATTCAGAATCCCTGAGTATTGCATAGACCACCATTGAGGTCTCCCCTGACCTAACTAGCTGACCCACGGAATGCAATATCTCCAAAATTGTTTTTTAAAACTCCGTACGGCATCAGAGCGTTTGCCATAGATAATGCAAACTCTCAAACAACCATGTATGGGTCAAGGAGATTCCTCGAGTAAACGGGGATCTAAGAAACCATAGTAGTGAAGAGGGGAAAAGGTATAGGTAGGGGCAAGAGTCCACTCGAGGGTCGGGAAGATGTCTAGTTACACTGGTATCACCCATCAGGCGTTGGATCCAAGGATCCCACATGTTCTAGAATAACAGCAGTTGATCATTTCAGAGCACCGAAAGGCATTCGTTTATCATGACCCAAGACCGCTTCGTCTTCAATAATTCAAACCGAACCATTGAAGACTTGGCAATAGCGATACGTGCCACTATGAATATGAATGTTCTCACTCCTCTAATGGGTTTCGAGGCGCCTTCCGCTGGACGACCCTATAGTGCCTGTTGTGGAGATTTGATGGAGGTAACGCCAGTAAGAGTAAATGGTTATACGTGCGGATGCGATATCTTTTGACTTTTGGGCATATCCGCCACATATGGTAGGCCAAGCCCTCCTGGCCACAACCTCTGCAGCAAAGAGCAGAGGCACTCGGGACCCACAAAGCTATTCCGGCAGAACCAAAGTACCATCACAGAAACCCTTTGTAATTGGCCTCTCTTAGAGAGGTATTGACTAGATTTTTCAAGGCGTGTTGTGCCAGCTTATGCCAGTCTGGCAATTCAAGCGTTTCCCCCCCGATGTCCTGCTCCTGTTTAGTCACATAGGGCAGCTTGATGTCTTGGTTGGTGAGCATGTCATAGGTCTACCATATATATCCGGAATGTTTGTGTTGGCATGAGTATTCCATGGGAGTGGCAGAAGGTCCGTGTGATGGGAGTCACTTTGGGTGGGGGGCCCATGGAACCCAGCTCACTTTGGAGAGGTGGGGAGACCCCTGTCTCAGCTCCCCATATCCCTATTATGTATAAGTCACCCTGTGTCTGTTAGGGGTACAGGGGGATCTGTCCTAATATTGGGGTCGGGGTTGTAGATTGTTTAATGTCATTTGGTTGTATCCCATTGTTCTATGGTTTGTCTGGGTTGGGAGCAAACTATTATGGGGTGTTTGTGTATTGGCTTGGTGGAGGGTGTCTCCAGCAGCCCTCCCTCCTGATGGGACTGTCTGTTGGTGTGTCTCTTGTTACTAAATGTAGATTTCCCCGCCCTGTGTCATTCTGCAGGGAGGGGGGATTGTCCCCTGAGTGTATATATCTTGTATCTGTGTTCAAATAAACTAGTCTACTTTCTGGATTACTTCAAGACTGGTGTTGTCTAGTCTTGTATGGTCGGCTGTGGTCAGTGTTTGGATGGGGAAGCGGTAGTCTAACGGAAGTACCCAAGCGCAATCTGGGGTCGGTTCCGTTACAGTCCGTTTTAGAGAGGTTAGGAAATGGGTAATTTGAGCGTAGCGGTAAATCTCCGTCCGCAGCATGTCCAACTTTTTCTTGCAAGAACTGCAGAGGCAATATACCGCGGTGACCTTGAGGCCTCTTTTTAGAGGCAAATGTGTCCTTATTAGTTTGTACTCCACTGTTTTTATGCCTGGTTACCAGACATGAGGGATCAGGCCATGGGCGATAAGCAGTGAGATAATCAACGAAGACAGTGACAAACCATACACCACAAATGATGGAACAAGAAGAATACCAAAATTCAACGAAAATAATGCCCAGGGAAGCCACTGGGAGCGTCAATATTCATCCCTAGACAGAGAACATCACATAATTTGGTAAAAAGCAAAAGACATGGAAAAGAGACTAGACCAGGAAGGGAGAGCAGAAGGAAGCTGGGAGGGAGAGCAGAAGGAAGCTGGGAAAGAACGGGAAGCAGGACTGAAATGTGTACATACCACATGAGAGGTGTCAAGATAAAATATCGGAGGGGTATACTGTGACGGGAGTCACTTTGGGTGGGGGGCCCATGGAACACCGCTCACAGCCTTGGAGAGGTGAGGAGACCCCTGTCTCAGCTCCCCATATCCCTCTTATGTGTAAGTCACCCTGTGCCTGTTAGGGGTACAGGGTGATCTGTCCTAATATTGGGGTGGAGGGGTTGTGGATTGTTTAATGCCATGTGGCTCCATCCCATTGTTCTGTTTGTCAGGCTTGGGAGCAAACTATTATGGGATGTATGTGTTTGTGTATTGGCTTGGTGGAGGGTGTCTCCAGCAGCCCTCCCTCCTGATTGGACTGTCTGCTGGTGTATCTCTTGTTACTAAATGTAGATTGGCCCGCCCTGTGTTATTATGCAGGGAGGGGGGATTGTCCCACCCTGTGTTATGCAGGGAGGGGGGACTGTCCTGCCCTGTGTTATTATACAGGGAGGGGGGATTGTCCCGCCCTGTTGTTATGCAGGGAGGGGGGATTGTCCTGCCCTGTGTTATTATGCAGGGAGGGGGGATTGTCCCCTGAGTGTATATATTTTGTATCTGTGTTCAAATAAACTAGTCTACTTTCTGGATTACTTCAGGACTGGTGTCTAGTCTTGTATGGTTGGCTGTGGTTGGTGTTTGGACGGGGAAGCGGTATTCTAACGGGAGTACTCAACGCAGACTGGTGTGGGGTTTGTTACATATACGCATGGACACCCCATACAGATATCAAGGGGAAGACATTGACAGGGCATGCAGAGGACAGAGGAGCCCTTTATACAGCTTTTGTATCTTTATACAGAATCAATTGATGGCCTTCTATGCTTTGTATGCACCATGACGGCTGCAGCATACTGGCTAAACTGTCACTTTACCTCCATGTGTGAGGCGGGAACAGCCGCAGCCGGCAGATTTGTGTGAACAAATGTCATGTGACCTCCATGACTCGGTGGTTCTCGCGGTGCTCACATGATTGGGTGGGTTCTCCTAGTTCTAAAATGAGAATTCTCCACCAAGACTGAGAACATAACTTCACACGTTGCGTTCAGGACACGTGGACTCACAATGTATCTGCTGGAGCTTTAGGTTTGCAATGGGTTAATCTTTGGGGGGGGGGGGGGGGTCTGTCATCTGTCACCCGTCACCCATCCTCCACTTTTATATTCTATTTGGCCATAAAACTGCCAATGAGTACAAGCCGAGGACGTAACACAAGCCGTGTCTCTACAATGACGTGACCTATGGAGACCCCATCAGCACGCACAGTACGTGGCACAACATTCCCATTCATCAGACTAATTGGCTGACTATTATGGATTGGTGAATGTTGGGTTGGATTCCCTAGGTATCCTTTGTACGGGGCCACGGCCGATGTTGGCACTATATGTCGGTATTATACAGGTAATGCTGCTGCAGGTGTTTGCTGGCTCTGCAGATATTTGTAGTCCTAATTTATGAAGCCTGGAATTGGCCGCGTTGGCTGTACCTGGTGGGGGTGGTAATTCCGTGTCCTCGCTCTGGGCCGTGTTTGGTTCTCGGCGGTATAAATACTTTGTAATTTTAGGTTTATTACAAGAGATGGACTTTGTTGTGTAAAGAACGACGAAGCTTATTTATCACGCATGACATCAGCCGGGAACCACAGACTGCAACTGGAAACTTTCCCCGGGACCAGCGAAAACTTACTGGCAGCTTATAAAGTGGCTGTGTGTTCTGGGAGCAGAGGATTCTGGGAGCCGTCTGGTGGTTTCCTGACCAGTGATGGTTGGGATCAGGACAGGAATGCAGTGGTCCACCAGAGGAGACTCTGGGATACCCATAGTAAGGGAAGATCCGAACCGAGATCTATGTGACTCGGGGTTGGGAAGAAAAACACGGGAGAAATATTCCCAGATCAATCCCGCTTTGCTGGCCCCCAATCCCGCTTTGCTGGCCCCCAATCCCGCTTTGCTGCCCCCAATCCCGCCCCCCAATCCCGCTTTGCTGGCCCCCAATCCCGCTTCACACTCCAGGTCCACCCAGACCATCTAATGTGCTGAGGACTCGGAACACTCAATTCAGGCCTAGGGACAGAGCCGATGGATGGTTTGTCTGCCCATTCTGGTCTATGGAAGATTGTTCTACAGAAGACTGAGACTGATGTGACTGTGGGGAGGGGACATTAGAGTGTAAGCTCCTCTGGTACAGAGATTGATGTGACTGGGGGGGGAGGAGACCTTAGAGTGTAAGCTCCTCTGTACAGAGACTGATGGGACTGTGGAGGGGGGGAGGGGCATTAGAGTGTAAGCTCTTCTGGTACAGAGACTGTAATGGGGACTGGTTCGGTGTTCTCTGTACAGTGCTGCAGTATATGTCAGAGCCAGGGGCGGACTGACAACTCATGGGGCCCCCGGGCAATAGGGGATCATGGGGCCCCTGTGTCCTTGCCCAAACTCAAAAAAGCCTATGAAAAGGGTACCAGGGGCATCTCATGGGGCCCCCTACTGACCCCGGGCCCTTGGGCAGTGCCAGAGTTTCCAAATGGTCAGTCCGCCCCTGGTCAGAGCTATATAAATGTATAATAATAATGTGTGACTGCGGGGGAGGGGACATTAGAGTGTAAGCCCCTCTGTACAGAGACTGATGTGACTGTGGGGGAGGAGACATTAGAGTAAGCTCCTCTGGTACAGAGACTGATGTGACTGTGGGGGAGGGGACAATAGAGTGTAAGCTCCTCTGTACAGAGACTGATGTGACTGTGGGGGAGGGGACATTAGAGTGTAAGCTCCTCTGTACAGAGACTGATGTGACTGTGGGGGAGGGACATTAGAGTGTAAGCTCCTCTGTACAGAGACTGATGTGACTGTGGGGGAGGGGACAATAGAGTGTAAGCTCCTCTGTACAGAGACTGATGTGACTGGCTCGGTGTTCTCTGTACAGCGCTGCGGTATATGTCAGAGCTATATAAAACAATTGCTTCATTGTTTTGGCACATGAGGTTGAACACTTAATGGGAACGGTCGCAAACCACTTTCGCTGTTATTTGTTGCGGTTGGCGAACGTGTCATCGAAAGATATTTGTGCATGAAAATTGGGCTGATATTGACATTTCCCTTTAATCCCCCCCCCCCCCCCGCCCCCCCCGCCCTATTCATCTTCATCTGTTACTATATGATCATTAGTGGAGCTTAATTGGAGTCTTTCAACCGAAGCCGTAGACTTTCATCTCGCTATCAAACGTCCCGTTCATTTTCTTTTAATCTCCTTCAACCCCCCATCCCCCCCTCCTTTCTTTCTTTTTTCTTAGTTGGACACTTAGTGTCCTTTTTTTTTTTTTTTTTTTTTTTTTTTTTATAGTTTTTCCAAAAGAATTAAAGTAAAAAAAGGTGGTGTTTTGTTTAACTTTTCATGACGTTTTATGCTGCCAATGAGCCAGCTGTGTGTCTGGTCAGATCGCTGCAACCAGAACTCGTTGTTCTAGGGGTGTCCTTTATCACACGCAGCTCATCGATGGGAAACCTGGAACTGGTCTTAGTGTTACTAAACCCAGGACTCCACCTTCACTGTATCTGGTCTCCCACAGAGAGGGAGGATTGGGGTTTGCCTTCTCCTAAAGGGAACGAAGTGAACCACTGTTGGTTGGTAATGGTGGCCATTGGAGAGACTGGAGAGGGATTGGGCATGGTGGCCAATGGGGAAAATGAGCATGTGGTTGTTGGATTGGGATTCTACTTTCTCCTGAAGGGAACAAAGAAAACCACTGTTGGTGAATTGGGTCTGGTGGCCATTGGGCGGGGGGATTGGGGCTTTCCTTTCTCCTAAAGGGAGTGAAGTAAACAAATATTGGTGAATTGGGCATGGTGACCATTGGAGAGACTGGGAAGGGATTGGGCATTGTCGCTGTTGGAGAAATTGGGCATAAAGGCTGTTGGTGGATTGGGGTTTTACTTTCTCCTAAAGGGAACAAAGAAAACCACTGTTAGTGGACTGGGCATGGTGACCATTTTGATGGACTAGGGAGGGATTGGGCAAGGTGGCCATTGGGGGATTGGGGTTTTACGTTCTCCTAAAAGGAGCTTAATAAACCACTGTGTGATTGGGCATGGTGGTTATTGGAGGGACTAGGAAGGGATTAGGCATGGTGGCCATTGTGGAAATTGGGCATGGTGGCAGTTGGTGGATTGGGATTTTACTTTTCTCCTAAAGGGAATAAAGAAAACAACTTTGGTGGATTGGACATGGTAGTTATTGGGGGGGAATTGGGCATGGTGGCCATTGGGGGATTGCGGTTTTGCTTTCTCCTAAATGGAGCTAAGTAAACCACTGTTGGTGGATTGGACATGGGGGGCCTTTGGAGGGATTGGGCATAATGGCCTGTTGGGAAAATTGAGCATAGTGGCTGTTGCAGAAGTGGGGTTTCCCTTTCTCCTAAAGGGAGCTAGGAAAATCACTGTTGGTGGATTTGGACTGGTGGCTGTTGGGGGGGTTGGGCATGGTGGTCCACCTAAGTGGAACAAAGAACACCACTGAGAGCAATATACTAGTGTACATAATTACTTGCATCATTAGTTTTAACTGCCTTGCTGTGCAGTAAATCCTTCTTCTTTTATTTCCATTTTTATAGTTGAAGTTCAGTCTTTTCTTGCTCATTGAGGCTTTGGGTGGTAACAATCCAGTTGTATTTTCCATAATAAATCAAGGGATGGGAGTCCTCATAAAAGCCACAACAGATGTGCAGACCCACCAGAGCACCAAGTAACAAACTCTTAGATGGGTTTAATTTGCCAGCATCTACCAGAAACTGCAATTGGTTTTAATTGGTCTACCCCCCTGATTGTGATCCTCTGAACCAGCAACTCCCCCCCCATCTGTATTTTTTTCCTTCTTGGCATGTTTGTGTCTAGTTTGGACCCTTAGAGGAGACACTGGAGGTGTTGACTTTTGTATGGGAGGATAGACTTTGTTGGCTTCTGTTAGTTGTATGGTCTTTGCCGGTCACTTGGCTATACTTTCAGTTTTAGAACTCTGTATTGGACATCAGAGTGTTCTGCTAGAAAAGCCATTTCCCCTACTTAGTCAATTAGATGATGCCAAGTTTGCACTGGGCCTGGACTGGGCCTGGACTCTGCGGGCTGCGGGCCTGGCCTGGACTTTGCGGGCTGGGCCTGGACTTTGCGGGCTGGGCCTGGGCCTGGACTCTCTGGGCCTGGCTGCGGGCTGGGCCTGGACTCTGCGGGCTGGGCCTGGACTCTGCGGGCTGGGCCTGGACTCTGCGGGCTGGGCCTGGACTCTGCGGGCTGCGGTTTTCACTTTAACAAATTTGGGGGCAAACCTCTAACAGCTAGAGCGGGCCTGCGCAGTTTGCGGATCACATCAGTACATTGTGTTGTGGCACAAATCTAGCTCACCTTTGAGAGTGCTACATATGGGAACTTGTCCATTTCCAGCTCAGTCTCTTCTCCTGGTTGTCCAGCTAGTTGGCCCTTTAAGATCCGAGTAGCAGTCACCGTTGACACCCCCATACCTGCAGAACACAAAGAATTTTTTAAACTGATCCAGGTCTGTCCATTGGCACAGCCCATATAACAGTCCTTGTGACCCACCGTCTCCCAGAAACATGATGGTATTCATGGCCACATTCTTATTGAGGTCCTGAAGGGTCAGTGCCTGGCTGAGGGTGTCCTGGGCCTGCTTACGCCAGTAGTCGGGGTTCTTCTCTTTCTCTGCAAAAAAAAAATATTATTGAGGTTTTGAAACTTTTGTTACTAAACTTTGAAACGAAGTGAAGGGAGATGTATATCTTGTGCTCTCAACCATTGTCTTGTCTGAGGGCTCTAAGCAACAGGACCTTCTGCCCTGCTGGGATATGAAGAAGTACATGTGTGGATGGGATTTTGTTTCTGCAATTTGCATCCAAAACTGCTCAGTTTCATGCATATGTTCAAGTGGTATATGGATTCGAGGGGCGGCTTTTATTCTGTATCTGCCTAAAACTGAGGGAGCTTCACTGTGATAGAACTGAATGTCAAGAAGGACCGTCTGAGTCCCCGGAAATCTAAAGCGGGTAAAGCACAAACGTCCACCTATACAATGTTTTGCATCTTACACTCTTGGAAAATGATGCCAACATTTTTGTGCTAGTGTATAGTTGGGGCCAAAGTGTCCGCTTTTTTGGAAGTGTCCTAGCTGTGCCCTATTCAGAACAAGGCCTTTGCCACTTATGGTGAGTGTTTTCATATCACTGTTATGTGCCCTTCCCAAAAAGGCAGCTGAAGGGGGCAAGACATCTACTCTAGCCTGCCCGCGGCGTCTACTCTAGCCTGCCCGCGGCGTCTACTCTAGCCTGCCCGCGGCGTCTACTCTAGCCTGCCCGCGGCGTCTACTCTAGCCTGCCCGCGGCGTCTACTCTAGCCTGCCCGCGGCGTCTACTCTAGCCTGCCCGCGGCGTCTACTCTAGCCTGCCCGCGGCCTCTACTCTAGCCTGCCCGCGGCCTCTACTCTAGCCTGCCCGCGGCCTCTACTCTAGCCTGCCCGCGGCCTCTACTCTAGCCTGCCCGCGGCCTCTACTCTAGCCTGCCCGCGGCCTCTACTCTAGCCTCTACTCTAGCCTGCCCGCGGCCTCTACTCTAGCCTGCCCGCGGCCTCTACTCTAGCCTGCCCGCGGCCTCTACTCTAGCCTGCCCGCGGCCTCTACTCTAGCCTGCCCGCGGCCTCTACTCTAGCCTGCCCGCGGCCTCTACTCTAGCCTGCCCGCGGCCTCTACTCTAGCCTGCCCGCGGCCTCTACTCTAGCCTGCCCGCGGCCTCTACTCTAGCCTGCCCGCGGCCTCTACTCTAGCCTGCCCGCGGCCTCTACTCTAGCCTGCCCGCGGCCTCTACTCTAGCCTGCCCGCGGCCTCTACTCTAGCCTGCCCGCGGCCTCTACTCTAGCCTGCCCGCGGCCTCTACTCTAGCCTGCCCGCGGCCTCTACTCCAGCCCACTCAGATTACTACAAAGTGGTGTGCAGGTTTCTCTAAGAACCATGTGATTTTGCATTAAGGGTGGTCACCAGATTTTATCAGTCCATTGCTGAGGACAACAGAATTGGTGACACTGTGTGGATCATCATGGCACTGTGTCCTAGTTGAGGAACCGTTATAGAAATCTGTAGTAGAGCAGCTCGTAGGTTTAAAGAAATGATCTAAAGTTCTTACCCCATACAAAACTGGGCTGCCAGGTCCCCCTTACCTGGGAAGCTGACAGATGTTGACAGCTTGACTGTGAGCAGAAGGGTCCATAATTTAATGATCATTCTCCTGACGTCCGAGGTTCATAGCCTTGTTGTCAGAAAAATTCCAGAACTTTGTGTGCAACCCTGGAGAGAGATGAGGGGAGAGAGGAATGAAAATCTGACTGGTAGCCATTGCAGCCCTCTGACCATTGCCGGTCGGTCCGCTGGATGACCATTTGCATTTATTAACATTTTTGTACAATTTCTTTCCCATCTTGTACTCCATAGAACAGCCGGGTTGGTCTTCAGCTAAGTGCAATCTTTACTTACAAATGTCACCACCACAGAGTTTCAGGTAACCTCCTTGTCTAATAATGCAATGCCAGCTGGTAAGCTATGAATGGCATAAACTACCCCATGAAGATGCTGCAGGTCTCTTCTGCCCCCCCCCCCCCCCCCCATTTCCACACAGGCTTTCTTCATGTAGGTACACCTGATTGTTTTGGTATTTCCTTGTGGCCTGGGGACTCCTGGTGGTCCTATCCTTGAGGAAAAGCTGGAGATGAGAACACCATTGAATAGGTGGTAGCCTTCTAGAATGGTCCATAGATGTTGACTTCTTTTCATTGCATCTGTAGGGACCAGTAATACAGCCAAGTTGGTTTAATGTCCCATTGAGGTGTCCTTGTATGTGACCAGCCTGAACTCTTCTGTTGCTCTTTGTGCTGGAGGTGAACTGGGTGTTGGCGTCATGAAATCTTCTCGGTTTGTGTAGCAGAACAGTGCTGTATGGGTTAGCCGTTGTCTGCATGTCTTCATATGTGGGAAAAGATCTAACATAATAATCCCACGCTGAGTGATAACATTGATGTTTGGCTCCATATCTCCTCACTCTGCTAATTACTCGGCTCCATGCAGGAAGAAGCCATGATGTGCTGGAGGGGCCAATTCCTTCCATTACTGGGGTCATTCCTTGTCTGTCAGCATGGCTGATATCACACAGATGGATGCAGGTCATCTGCTGGTCACACAACAGAAAATGTCCAAAGTGACTGATGAGCGGGTCAAATGGTCACCATGGGCCCCCTAAACTGGTACCTTGGGCCCCATGCACACCATAGATTTTATTGTGGATCCTCTCAATGTCTCCATACATTTTGCCAGCCACCCCTGCCAATAGGCCATGTACACATGGATTAAAGCCAAACTCCGGCCAGAGCAGTTCCTAGGTTTGTATATAGGGGAAGACATGGAACTCCTGGTCCCCCCAGCTGCTGCAGGCATTCAGCCATCCCATAAGTCGTAGACGTGCTCCCCTGCTGACCCTTTTTCTTCTACCCGTTGGCTTGTACAATCTGAAGTAACATGTGGGTGGCAAGAACCACCATGGTCAGCGGGGAAGCAAGTTTTCTGTACACTCAAGTTTCCTCAAAGGGAGCAAAGAGGCAACCTTTCAATACATGGGCTGCTGAAAAGGGAAGTAGATTTAAGATTCGCTCACAAGTGGCTAGAAGTGACTGTGGTGATGGTGTCCCTTTATGACCAGGTCCAAGGACGTGGTGTCACAAGGACAGGAAATGATGGCAGACTTCTTATGGGGACAGTGGCAGAAGCACATTTATTCGGTAGACTGGGAAGGGGATAGAAGATCGGTCGGGACATTGCTCTGTTCTGGTGATGCCAGCACCATCTTATTGTATATCCTTGTGTCATTGGAATAAAAAGGGTTTATCTCCCCAATGAGAACGCTCGGCAATAAAAACTTGAAGTTCTGACTCGTACCCGCCCCGGCCAAAAAATAGCTGTGGCTTTAATCGTACTATAAATGCCCTCCTGACCAGAATTTGCCTCTCCAGCTTTAATTGGAACCAACTATCTGGGAAATCGTTGGAACAGTCCATGAAGAATCGAAGATCACCAGGTTTTTTTTTTTCCCCTCGCTTATGCCTTAAATTGTCTGAATGTATAGGCCCCCCGATAAATGGGGCAGATAGGGAGGTTTCAAGCTGGCTTCCAGGACACGAGGGGTGGATAGGACAATACTTCACCTGCCACTTGCCCCTCCAGATACAAGGGCAGATAGGACGGTTCCTGCAACTTCCAGCTTGTCTTCCTGTATACAAGGGGCAGATGGGACGGTACTTGCTCTGCCAACCTGGCTTCCCAGTTACCAGAGGTGGACAGGACAATACATACCCTGCTAGGTTGACCCATCCAAATACAAGGGGCAGGGAGGATGGTACTTGTCTTGCTAGCCTGGCTTCCTGAATACTAGAGGAGGATAGGATCGTTCTTGCCCCTGCCAGCCTGACTTCTCCAATACAAAGGGATGATGGGATGGCTCTTGCCCCTGCCAGCCTGACTTCTCCAATACAAGGGGGTGATGGGATGGCTCTTGCCCCTGCCAGCTTGGCTTCTCCAACACAAGGGGATGATGGGATGGCTCTTGCCCCTGCCAGCTTGGCTTCTCCAACACAAGGGGATGATGGGATGGCTCTTGCCCCTGCCAGCTTGGCTTCTCCAACACAAGGGGGTGATGGGATGGCTCTTGCCCCTGCCAGCTTGGCTTCTCCAATACAAGGGGGTGATGGGATGGCTCTTGCCCCTGCCAGCTTGGCTTCTCCAATACAAGGGGGTGATGGGATGGCTCTTGCCCCTGCCAGCCTGACTCTCCAATACAAGGGGGTGATGGGATGGCTCTTGCCCCTGCCAGCTTGGCTTCCCAGATATAAGGTGGAAGGGACATTGCTTTCCCTGCCAGGCTGACTCCTGCAGATAACAAGGAATGCATGGGATGGCATCCCAATCCTGCAAGGAGCTGATGGGGATGGTGGATAGGACACTCTTGCCCACCCAGATTGATCCCTTCAGTTACAAGGGGAAGATAAAATGGTACACCTCCCCCTCGTCCTAGATACAAAGGGCTGGTAGGACAGTTCTTGCCCCAGATAGCCTGGCACCCTGATACAAGTGATGGATAGGATGATACGTGCCCTGGCAGGCTGACCCCTCCACATACAGATAAGGTGGCAGGTTCCCAATCTTGCAAGGGGTGGACAAAATGGTACTTGTGGGGCCAGGCTGACCCCTGCCAATCCTAGATACAAGGGACTGATGGGATGGTTCTTGCCCCTGCCAGCCTGGTTCCCCAGATCAAGGAACTGACAGGATGGAACATCCTCAGTCCTTCAAGGGGCAGATAGGATGGTACACTTTAGGCCAGGCTGACCCCCCCCCATCCTACATATGAGGGGCATATAGAACAGGACTTACCCCGCCAGCCTGCAGGTGAAGTAGCACAGACACGTGAGAACAATAAAAGCCACAAAGGAGCAGACCACGGTTGTGATCAGCATATGGGCCTCATTGGTCAGAGCCATGGTGGGATCCTCGCAGCCCCTTCGTCTTCCCGAAGGACCAACGTCTGAGGTGTCTGCAGCCTCTGTCAGCAGATTTCTGGATTACCTTCAACTGATCAGATAATTCCTCCAGATTAATCATGGAGAGGAGCTTTACTGGCTGTGGTGGTGTCCCAGAGGATGCAATCCTACGAGGGTCACAATGTCCCCCCAAAGTCCAGATTAATCATGGAGAGGAGCTTCACCGGCTGTGGTGGTGTCCCAGAGGATGCAATCCTACGAGGGTCACAATGTCCCCCCAAAGTCCAGATTAACATGGAGAGGAGCTTCACCGGCTGTGGTGGTGTCCCAGAGGATGCAATCCTACGAGGGTCACAATGTCCCCCCAAAGTCCAGATTAATCATGGAGAGGAGCTTCACCGGCTGTGGTGGTGTCCCAGATGATGCAATCCTACGAGGGTCACAATGTCCCCCCAAAGTCCAGAACACTCATGGAGAGGAGCTTCACTGGCTGTGGTGGTGTCCCAGAGGATGCAATCCTACGAGGGTCACAACGTCCCCCCCCCAAAGTCCAGATTAATCATGGAGAGGAGCTTCACTGGCTGTGGTGGTGTCCCAGAGGATGCAATCCTACGAGGGTCACAACGTCCCCCCAAAGTCCAGATTAATCATGGAGAGGAGCTTCACTGGCTGTGGTGGTGTCCCAGAGGATGCAATCCTACGAGGGTCACAACGTCCCCCCAAAGTCCAGAACACTCATGGGAGAGGAGCTTCACTGGCTGTGGTGGTGTCCCAGAGGATGCAATCCTACGAGGGTCACAATGTCCCCCCCAAAGTCCAGCACACTCATGGAGAGGGATATATGGTATGAACTGTGTCCCCATTAAGGAGATTCCTGTGTCTTCCTGTCCTGGAGATACAACAGGAAGTAAAATCCTATCTAAGTGAAGGAAATCCCCGTTATACAGGTGTCTCATCTGGAAGGCTTCCCCTCCATTTCTGTTTTGGTATCAGTGACAGTGATTGTCCTCTTTCCATGCACCACCCAAAACCTAAATGAAAAAACTTTCTTTATATCCACTCTAACGGCATTTATTTTTGCAGTTGTTAAGCCGTAATGCCAGCTGCACTGCCTGTCCCTGATATACAGAGCTAGTAGAGGGAAAAACAGGTCTCTAAATGAAATGTTATCAGAATATGGAACCGCAAATCTATGGAAAAATTATTTTGCAGAGACTCAGAATCCGTGATGGTGCTGAGCACAGGATCCCGGTGTACAATGGGTCCGGAATAGGCCAGCAGGTGTGTCTGGGGTCTCTGGGGGAGTCATTGCTGATGGAGTCAGAACTGAATTCTCAGGGGTCCCTCATGGCCGCAGCTGCCTGGCTGGATGATGCAGAAATTGCAGCTGTTCAGATGTGAAATGTGCGCACAGCCAGCATCCAGTGTACAGAGGTGCCGTCCCCTCCCCCGTGTTCTCTTATAGATGCTGAGTAGTGGGGTATGTAGTGTGGGTGATGGGTGTCGGGGATGGGTGTGGGTGTCGGGGATGGGTGCCGGTGTCGGGGTGGGTGCCGGCGTCGGTATAAGTAGTGCTTGAGGCTCAGGGAATTCCAGCTGCCCCCTGGAAGGGTATTTCCAGAGGGATCGGGCAGGAATATAGAACATCTATGGAGACATCTTCTGAAAGGTGTCCCAGGAAGAGTTGGGTAGAAGCTGCAAGGATGGACATGGTGGAAGATCTCACAGCTCAGCAATCCAGGTTCTGGTGACTGGTCACGTAGGGTCAGGCAAGAGGGAGAAGTGTCCCTCAATGGTGTCCCTCAATGGTGTCCCTCAATGGTGGTGTCCCTCAATGGTGTCCCTCAATGGTGTCCCTCAATGGTGTCACCTCAATGGTGTCCTTCAATGGTACCCCTGGACTTCCCTTGGAGTCGTAGCTCATTAGTCGTTGCATTCCACCCCGCTGCTCTTAAAGGGCCAACAATTCCGACTGCAGAAACCTGCCGTGTCTGTCTTTGGGTGCCCTGTACCCCTCTCCCAAGCATTTGTTACCCCCGCTGTTGGAATTCCGCCCACGAAATGTTTGGCCGCCATACCCTGTGATATGGATTAATGATTATAGTTTGCTTTATCTGAAATATTAGAAATTCCAATTCTGTGGTCCTGTCCTTGGTGGCATCGTAGAATTGGATGACAATGCCAACCAGTAACAATCCTTCTTGCAGAATAGAGGTGGGGAGGATGGGGACACTTTGGCCTGGACCCACCTCACAGGGGGACCCCCATCACAGCCAGAGGTACCGGATCCCCTATTTAACCCTTCAGCTGCATTAGCGCCATTCGTCAGAACATCCATGTGTAGCCGGGCTACGATTGGTCACCTCTGCCCCCACATCTCCTCTGCAGCCAAGACCTTGACTTTGGGATGACTTGGTGAGACGAAATGGTTGTCGCTCGTTACCCGCCCTCCATGGCCACACTGGGGCACTTCCAGTTATCACCCTTCCTGTTGTCTCTTGCCCAGGAAGTGGAGAGAAGTCCCCTTGTCACCAGGTGTCTGCATTGGAAGGTTTCCCTCATTTCCTGTTCTGGTGACAACTGTCACGTTTTGAATCTCCTGTTCTTCCTTCATATAGGGTGACCCCAAGACAAATGGAGGAAAGCAGCAAGCAATGGAGACCTAACGGCAGGTCCAACTGCCCCCCCCATCCCCCCACCCCAAATGTTCGATTTAGATGTCTAAGGAAGCCGTCACGTTGCAGGGTTGTGTCCTCCACGTGATCTGTGCATTTCTGACATTTATAGACCGTATATAACCGGGGAGAGACGTCGCCGGAGGACCAACGCTCGGTTATGTAACGCATCCTCCATGCGGCCCTCGTGATTGTGCTTACATTGGAAGGTTCTGCAGACCTTTGGCAGACAGTTCAGAGGTGTGTGGTCCAGGGCCGTCATCCTCATCCTCTGTGGGGGAACAAGCTGGCGACGGCCCATCTATCCCAGCAGGAAGTGCCCATCCCAGATTATTCTGTAGAACTAAAAGTGTAATCTACTTCAATGTTGCCCTCCCAGCCCCCCCCCCCCCCCTATCAAAATAATGAAAAAAAAAAAAAAACTGCTCTCATTTTATATATTATACTTTTATCACCAGGTCTCTGTGCTTCTCTATGCAATGCAGACAAATAGCGGCTGCTGGGAGGGGCTGGCAGGGGGCTATTCATAGCTTCCTGAAAACATCCCAGCCCCCTGCCTCACTCTCAAGAGCCCTCAGTCCTGATACAAGCAGTGGGTGGGCTCTAGGGAGGAGTTATATAAATATCAAATCCCTTTGATGGGTGGAGTCAGGCTGGAGGAGTGGGCGGATTTGTTTGTATGCAGACCGCCCTAGGTAACGCCCACATGTGTTGCTGAGCCTCCATGATTTAAAATAAGGAGTATCAAATGAAATAGACGGGGCCAGGGACAGTCAGGCTGGGGAGGAAAGGCTAGATGATGCTGGACGTCCTCCAGCCAGGAAATGAGGCGGGCTTCTATGAATGAGAGGCGGGGCCAAGGACAGTGAGGCTGGACAGGAAAAGCTAGATGATGCTGGATGTCCTCCAGCCAGGAAATGAGGGCGGGCTCCTATGAATGAGAGGCGGGGCCAGGGACAGTCAGGCTGGGGAGGAAAGGCTAGATGATGCTGGACGTCCTCCAGCCAGGAAATGAGGCGGGCTTCTATGAATGAGAGGCGGGGCCAAGGACAGTGAGGCTGGACAGGAAAAGCTAGATGATGCTGGATGTCCTCCAGCCAGGAAATGAGGCGGGCTCCTATGAATGAGAGGCGGGGCCAGGGACAGTCAGGCTGGGAAAAGGAAAGGCTAGATGATGCTGGACGTCCTCCAGCCAGGAAAATGAGGCGGGGCTTCTATGAATGAGAGGCGGGGCCAAGGACAGTGAGGCTGGACAGGAAAAGCTAGATGATGCTGGATGTCCTCCAGCCAGGAAATGAGGCGGGCTCCTATGAATGAGAGCGGGGCCAGGGACAGTCAGGCTGGGGAGGAAAGGCTAGATGATGCTGGACGTCCCTCCAGCCAGGAAATGAGGCGGGCTCCTATGAATGAGAGGCGGGGCCAAGGACAGTGAGGCTGGACAGGAAAAGCTAGATGATGCTGGATGTCCTCCAGCCAGGAAATGAGGCGGGCTCCTATGAATGAGAGGCGGGGCCAGGGACAGTCAGGTTGGGGAGGAAAGTGCTAGATGATGCTTGATGTCCTCCAGCCAGGAAATTGGTTTTCTGTCATGGGTGGAGCCTGCTGGGCCCCTCCCCTTTGTAGTTCTTTGTAGTAGTTGGAGCCTTCTGGGCCCCTCCCACAGCTCTGCACAGGCTATGTACGGCACAGTGATGTCACTGCCATCTTTACAGGGTAATATCTGAGTTTGTAAAGGCACCTGGCATGCACCAAGTAGATTTTATATCCTTTGTGGCTGTTGAGGAATACATTTCAGTGTGAGTTTGTCTGGAGTTCAGCTTTAACTCCACCCGTTGGAGGGCGACTTGGCGGCCTCTATCGCTGTGACGTGACTCATCCCCCCCCCCCCCCCCCCCCCTCCCCCCGGCTCCGTGTTCTCATTGTTGCTCCCCGACGGATCCATCATCTTGCTGGTATCACACCCAGATCTCTGCCGGTCGGAGCACACGGACCGTGTCTGTTCTTGCTGAGTGCCCGCCGGTGACAACAAACAGGTTCAGCCTCATAGCTGTGCAGAGACTGGAAATTCATCTTCCGCTAAGGAGCTCCAATCCTTCCCGGTGACAACTCTCTGATGTAAGCGACGGTCATGTGTGACACGTTGCTATGGAATG